GGCCAGAATATAATGGCACCTATGAAGGTACAAAGATAATGGCAATAGGAAATTCCTAAAAGGAGGAATTCCAGAATTCCTAAAAGAAAGCCCAGAAAGAAGGGAGGAAAAGTAGTTTTGAAGTTATTTTTTCAGAACAGATAAGGCAACAGCTTTTGAAGCTCAGGGAAGCAAACTGCCAATTAAGAAAATAAAGTCTATTATAATAAATCTTTCAGAGGAAAAGAAGCACTACTGGCTAGTTTTTTGATCACTGTAAAAAACAAAATTTCAGTCACATAGGAACTGAAATAAAATGGATATTGTTTAGGCCACACAAGCACCTTGGAGACAGTAACTCACAAAGCACACTTCTACATTCCAGGCTACGTATCGATAATAAACAGACCATCACCCAGCAACACATAAGAAACACACCTACCGTGGTGGCATCCCAGGCCAGCTCTCTGCTGGCCGCACCATCAAGCCTCTATCTGCCTATAGAGGCCTCATGAACTCAGGTTTTGGTGACATCCTCCACAGATGTCATTAATGACTCTTAACGATTTCACCTGACACTTCATCTCTAATTAAATCCTATTTCCTCTTTAGTCTTGTGTAATCTGCTGTTGGAACACTCCTGATTCATTGATATGACCCACTGGTTGGGAGGGAATTATTAGATAAAGTCTGAAAGACCTCCAGGGCCTTCGCTTGTCATACATTTCATCTGAGGCAAGATAACAGTCTCTCAGACATGGGCCCTGATGTGATCTGGAGATGATACCATCACCAAACACCTGTAATAACATTGTCTCCTTAGTGGAAAGCTGTCACAACACAGAGGAGAAACCTCTGGAGTGAAAGAGTTATGGGCTTGGGGCTGGATCCCAGTTCAAGTTCAAAACCTCTTCTATCTTTACCTCTTTGCATTTCAGTGTCCTCAGCTATAAAAAAGGGTCATTAATAGGTGTTGTCAGTATTTGAGAATTTCAGCAAACTGATCCTTCTTTCCTAGTAAGAACTAGAAAATGGGCAATAGAGAATTTTTTGTGAGTTTGATTTTTAGAGAACTGAAATATAAGATCAACATTTAATAACTGTAGTGACCACTGAAACAGGCTTCTCACCAGAATTACCTGTGGAACTTTAAAAACAATTTAGGTGCACAGCTTTTATCCTCAGGCAGTGCTGTCCAATGGGACTTTCTGTAATGACGAAACATTCTAGAAATGTGCGGTCCAGCACAGGAGCCACTAACCTCATGGGACTCATAAAGCACCACCCCCCCCTTTTATTGATATAAAAGACATATAATATTATATTAGTTTAAGCAGGTGAAGTGTGACTAATATGATTGAGGAACAGATTTTAAATTTTCATTTACTTCTAATTATTAAAATTTAAATAACTACATGGGCTAGTGGTTATCAAACTGGACAGCATAGTTTTAGACAAATTCTTCTGAGTGTGCGCTCCTCAAACCAGCAGCAGGCGTGTCACCGGGGAACTTGTTAGGAATGCAGACTCTTAGGCCCTGTACCAGACATGCTGAATCAGAAGCTCTGGGGTGGGGTCCCACCCTGGTGTGCTGGTGAGGGTTTAATGAAAGAGAAGCACTGATTAGTAGCATTTGCCAATGCTCCTGGTGTAAATACTCAGCATAGCAGATTTCAGGTGATCATTGGACATGAGATTGGCTGGAGAGGTACCCATGAGCTCTGAGAGCCCACGCAGGCTAGCTCCTGCATGCCACCAAGCCAGCAATCTGCATTTTAGCAAGCTCTCCAGGTGGTTCTGGTGTTTGGTTGAGAACCACTGATGTAAACCAGAGCCTAAGAAGACAGAGACCATGGCGTTTGTGTTGTACATTTTTCATGAGGGATTTCAGTGAGCAGCCTGTTTGGAAAGCCTGACTCAAATACAAACGAGCAAGGGCACTTGACTTAAGGAGCCAGGTGGCCTCCTCAGCCCCCTGTGCATGAGGCAGCCTGACACAGACTATTAAGACCTGCTCCCTCCTGTGCGTGGAGAAGCCTGAGCCTCGGCCCCTCAGATGGAGGATCACAGGCAGCCTGCCTTCCCTTCCCTTCAAGCGGCCATTCCAAACCCCCCACCTTCTGATATGATGAGCAACATCACAGGCATAGCCCACTCTAGGGGCAGACCCAAGGTGTAAGCAACACTGGCCCTCTAACCACAGCTTCTGCTTTACTCTCCCACTTAAAAAGAGGATTGAGAATTGAGAATCATATTATTACTAGGATAATCTAGAACTTTTACTTTAAGAAAATATCTTACAAATTTCAGAAAATATCTGAAGATACCTTATAGTTGTTTACATATCTGAAGATACCTTACAGTTGTTTGGACATACAATAGTCCAAAAACACTGTTTTGAACAAGCTACTATGTCACATCTAGGACATACATGTCCTTATTTAAAATAAATATGGGCTGCCTATCTCACCAGATTTGTGGTAAGAATTAAATGATTTAACTATGCACATAAAATCATATCTGGAATATTCTAATTCCATGTGCAGCCAGCCCTAGGGAGGCAAAATCATACATTCATTAGAAATGAGCACAGGCTCTTCCCTAGTTTAGCAATCTATGCTATGGAAAAGCAGACTGCTGAAATTCCTTTATATTCTAACTAAAGGAGAAAATAATAGAAAGAATTCAGAGCAACTTGTCTACAACCAGGAGGTCACTCATACATACAACCTCTGAGGTAGAGTACAGAACAAATCCCTGTGATTCAGAAAAGCTCCCTCATTTCATTACAAACCCAGAGCAGAGAGTTCCATTAAAATAACTGCATTTGGGCTTCCCTGGTGACACAGTGATTGAGAGTCTGCCTGCCGATGCAGGGGGCACAGGTTCGTGCCCCGGTCCGGGAGGATCCCACATGCCACAGAGCAGCTAGGCCCGTGAGCCATGGCTGCTGAGCCTGCACGTCTGGAGCCTGTGCTCTGCAATGGGAGAGGCCACAACAGTGAGAGGCCCGCGTACCACAAAAAAGTAAAATTAAATTAAAAAATAATTGCATGCGTTACTTGAATATTTCATTGCAAAAGTCATATAGTTATGCCTACCAAGCTCTTTATTTTGATCTACTGAGTTTGGCCTAAATCCCAAATGAGACTACAGTGGAAAAAAGAATGTATATTCTTGTCCTTATTATGCTCCTTAACACAAAATATTTTTACATTTATAATGTTTTTAGAGAAAATAGCTAGAAATTTTAGCTGCCAGTTTACAAGCTCAGGATGGCTGGCAAAGGAGCATCTTTTAAAGCAGTAACTTTGTCCTAGGTTCTGTTTCCTGGTATAACAACAGCACTCCTGACCCGTGAACAGGAGAACACACATATCTGTAGAGACTCAGCTTTGGCTCTGAGGGCTGCCTATGGTCTTGACAAAGTAGGTAATTTTTCTTGGTGCTAAACTAACTGGTCCAGATGGACATAATTAAGGCCATAATTTGACAGGGGGAACTAATGAGCCTGAGTCATTTTACATTTCCCATATGCAAAAACTAGAGCAAAAAAAGTATTGTATTCCAAATCATACTTAATTCATAGAGTGAAGGTGCTTAGAAACTATAATCAGAAGTTCTTCTGGGTGGTTAAAAACTGAATTATCTCATCACCAATTGTAAAGGTTTTATGTGGAACTTGAGAAAATACTGCAACTTGCTTTGACGTGGTATGTTTTCAGTAAGAGATTGTTGTGCGCTTTCTATGTTTCATGTACTATGCTAAGTTATTTGTGTATCATCTAATTTATTCCTCACTTAACCCCCAAAGATTGGGTATTACTATTACTCCCATTATATGGATGAGAAACCTGAGGCTTGGAAATATAAATTTTTTGCCCAAGTTCATACAGCTGGTAAATGACAGAAGCGGGGAAAAGATAAAATCTGGCTCCAAACCTCTTTCAATACACTCATGGCTTCCAGTCCAGTGGAGTTTTGTGAAGTATCTGTGGTTATTCCAGAAGTTTCAGTCACTCTTACTTTGAACATATTGGAGGTAAGGTTACTTGAAGTTAGAGAAAAGTATTGAATTTATAGTCTGTTTATCCAAATACTATTCTTTGTCATCTCAAGCATATGGATGACTCAGATGAACTACTGCTGTGGCATCTACGGAGAGTGTCTTTCAGCTCTCCTCCCACAAACTTGCTGCTTAGCTGCAGCACATGCAGCGGGCTGCCAGACTCCACCTGCAGCATCTTGGGGTCCTGCTGAGTGCTGGAGCTAGTGGCGATGGTAAGGCACAACATTTCTGCCCAATACAAGATTCCTCTATGGGAAATCTTTGATCTAGAAGCTCCCCATCTGGCTGGTGGAGGCTGTCTCAGAACTTTAATGAAGTCTGAAGCTCTTTCTACCCCTCTCTCTCCTTCCTGCTCACCTTTCCCAGGTGTCAGACCTGCATCACAGACTCTCTCTGCCTACTCCTGATCCCCTTCCATTTTTCTTCCAGCAGACGTTACCCTCAATACATCTCTTGTACTTCTACCTCAGTCTCGGTGTCTGTTTCCCAGAGGACCCGACCCACCAACCATGAAAAGTATTTTCATATGGGGGCCCGACCAAACCTGCTATTAAAAAAGAAAGAGTAATCCACCAACAAATGTCTGCTCACACTGTCACACATAGAGTTTGCCATGGATTCCATGGGGAGACTAAGCGGATGCAAACAAGAGATGTGTGCCCCTGTGACACAGACTATGCTTCCCAAAACCCTGTCATTCCCGTTAATGGGAATACACTCAGCAAATATGTTAAGGAGTCTGGGAGGATTACCTTATGGTGATGTGACCACTTTTATTAAACTAAATACTGATCTATTATTATTGCAGAAAAAGAAACCATATTTTTGGCACTGTTGGTGGCTTCCGTGAGAGATTATTTAAATGTAGGAGTATTTATAAAGAAAGAGGAAAAGGCTAGGCTACTTAAAAAGCAGACATGGAGGATTTCTATTCCCAGGTCTCCAAAACACCTCATTTTTCATCTTTCCAGTATCCATCTGGGAAAATTAGATTACAATCTCCCTTAAGAAGAAGGAGACAAAAATTATAGGTGAACACCAATGCACACAAATTAGCCTCTTCTGGTAACTTGTTATTCTACTGTTTGCCCAATTGAATTAATCTGTGCAAGAAATGTATGCTGTTTACGACAAAAAGCATTAGTGTTCTTATAGGATTTTCCCCCTAGATTTAGTCATTCATTCAACAAATATTTACCAAGCATCAACTCAGAGCCAGTCAGCATGTCTGCAAGTGAGAATAAAAAGATAAACCATATAGCACAGGGAACTATATTCAATATCTTGTAACAAACTATAATGGAAATGAATCTGAAAAAGAATATATATGTATACATACACACACACACTCACACACACTTGTAACTGCATCACTTTGCTGTACACCTGAAACATTGTAAATCAACTACAATTTTTTTAAAAGTCATGGAAATACAAAAAAAACTAAAAGATGAACCAGAAGGCATGGTCCACATGCTCACTGAGCTTAGAGCCTAGCCCAGTGCTCTTCAAACTTTAATGTGCAGATGAATCACTGGGATTTTGCATCTTCTGACCCAGCAAGTCTAGGATGGGGTCTAAGATTCTGCATTTCTTACAGGTCCTCAGGACGACAGTGATATGAGTGCAGAGACCATGCTTTAAGTAGCGAGGAACCGGCTTACTAACTCTCAGCTGTGGGGCTGTGACACACTCCTGTATGTGAATGCCTTTCAGGAGTATCATCAAATGTGAATCAATGAATATTGTCAATACAATAGAAAACATATACTCTCACCAGGATACCTACTGGCTGGAATTTTGAGCTGAGATCAACAAAATGTAGGTATATGATTTACTGAATAAAAAGTAGGAGGCAAGGTATGGAATGACATCAGGATGGTGCCAAAGAACACTGGCATTCCCAGGAGCAGGTGTGAACATGGCCTATGAACACGACTTCACAGCCAGGGCACTGGCCCAAGTTCTTCATCAACTTTAAATGTAGGAGTATTTATAAAGAAAGAGGAAAAGGCTAGGCTACTTAAAAAGCAGACATGGGGGATTTCTATTCCCCAATGCTCAATTTAAAGCATTTAAATTTTTTCCCCAAACCTGCTTTTTCTTAACCAGCAGTCACTTTCTAGCCCTCTCAAGTACACCACTAAAATTTCTCATCCAGAACACCATAAACACACAAAGGTTAGCCTTGTTCAAAATGTGTAATCTCACAAATAAAAGGAGGCCAAATGTATAATTAGAGGCCACATGTCATTAAGCAACTGCTTGTGCAAACTGTCAAATTATATCTTAAAATGGGGTTGTGGGAAGGTGGAAGGTAGTGGGAAAGAGGGGAGTTAATTTAATTCTAAGCTGTTTGAAGCCAGGAAAACAGGCCACATGGAGTTAACCTGGGGAGAGGAGCTGGGTTTGCTCATTTTTCCTAGATTCAAAAGAGAAAATTAATCTGAGATATAAAAAAAGTAAAGTCACTTTGATCTCTACAACCCCAAACGTCCAGGTACAAAATGTAGTGAAAGATAGCAGGTATCTTAAACTCATCTACAACTCTGTACTTAGCCGGCTCATCTATAATAGTAAGAGGAAACTCCCATTAATAATTTAAAGGAGCCATGCCAGAAACAGTAACCCAAACAAGTCCAGAGTTAGCAGGAAAGGATGGTCAAGGTCAGCTGTGAAGTGGGTTGTGTAGGGTCACACTACACATTCATGATTCGTATGACATGCATTCTGACACGTGGATGCCAATGCACAGAACAGCAAGGGGAATTTACAAAGACCCCATCCTGCAACCTCAGAAATGAGTCCAGCTGGGGAGCTCTAAATGCTAACAACATCACAAACATTCTGAAGACAAACATGGAAAAATGGGTTTTTTAAGAGTAAGTCAAATTCATATTACTGCTCACACACAGACATACTACTTTGAAACATGACAATCATTTTGGATAATTTTGTAGGTTTCCTATTTTTTTATTTTGAAATTTCTTTTTTAGAAGCAAGAGAAAAAGAGAAGTCAATGGAAAATGCTGCTAGTCATGAGTGACAAAGGAATTAGATACTGCTGTTGTTCCTTGCCAGAAATAATTTGTTATTGGTTTTTTTTTTTCTGGATATATGTTATCTCACTTGAAAAAAATGAAAGTTCGACAAGCGAATCTAGAGCTGATAGTGAGGAGGCCCTCACTGCCACAAAACAGAACACAAAGCCCCTTTACAAAGATCGGAGAGAACAAATTTAAATGCCTATTACAAATAGCTAAATTAAAGTCTGGCCTTAACACCAAAGCAGAATATTTCAATCACTTAAACAAAAACTTAGCATATGAGTCAAAGACACTCATGTGACTGAAGTAGGCACTGTCCAGTATTGCTGTGTTCGTTTCCTATGGCCTCTTAACTTCCCTTGGGCATCATGACAATGCTCTCCAGGGTGGTGTGCAGAAGCCCTGAGCACAACTGTGTTAATTGCACGTGTGGAAAACAATTTCAATGACTAAAGGAAAACCACACCATGGTATGTCCAAAATGCTGTCTGAAGCATATATTATATGAGGTTTTAGTCTATTATATTTTGTGTCTATCTTACCTTGAAGCCATGATGGATGCTTATTTAATTTTCTGCTTAATTGATTCATTCCAAACCTGAACCATGATAGGACAGGGCAAAAAAAACAAAAACAGATGCTCTATGCTCTACCAGCAGAGCCCTTAGGTTAATAACTACTGTCTAATTTACGTTTAGCTAAGGGGCGGATCATGGAATCCACATACAGCTTTCCCAGGTGAGAACATTATTTTGAGAATGTTATTTTGAGAGGTCCATGTTGTGGGGACTGGTTTTCCTCTTATTTCTATTATGCCTGCTTAGGACACAACAATGAAGTAGCTGATTGGGCAGGTGTTATTCTGCATCTACTTCAATTTTTCAATTGGTATATAATCTTTCAAATTTCAACCAGAGGTACCTACCCAGCTTATCATGCAGAAGAAGCACTCTGAATTATTAAATATGCCTCAGGGTGGGGAATCAGCACATCTTCATTCGATATTATCTTCATTCTGATTATCCTCTAGAGCTCAGAAAATTAGGGAGCGACTGCAAGGGCCTATTCCTGGGAGTAAATGTGAGATTCAGTAGGAAACACAAATGTAACTCAGTGGAATACATGACAAATATGAAACAAACCACCATCAATTTATATTCATCAATCAAGTCTCTAAGACGGTTAGAGCTCTGGAAGTGATGGGACATCTGGAAACATGGACATGGCCTCCAGCACGTGGTCGTCTTTTCCGAGGGCTGACAAGGCAAGCAGACCCAGCAGCATCTCTGTCTTGGGTGGGTTTGGAGTCTGGGCTGTTATGTTTTGTTCTGTTATCTCAGGCTGCTTTTGTGGGTCCTAGGTCCTCTTAGACCTATTGATATGGGTCCCCAACCACACCAACATGAGCCCTCCAACCAAAAAGACTGAGAGAGTAGCCAAGGGATTCCAGCCCCTCATCTTCTCACTTCCTGAGAGAAGACCCCAAACTATTAACACTCCTTGTGGAAGACAATGTTGCTCGGTTGACATTAGAAGAAAACCCCATGATCATTTTCTGGACTAAGGACTCTGTGTCCCAAATAACATCTAGAGATCCTCCTGATTGCCTTCTAGCTCCATGACTTCAGGCCAGTCTCTCTCAGCCATTCATTAGTTAAAATGTAGGCTAATAGGCATTACTCATGCTTCCTTTTTCCTTTTGTTTTTCTGGATATTTTATCAATATACTTTTTTAATTCATCAACCTTACTGAGGTATAATTTATGGAAAATAAAATGTACTCATTTAAAGTATAGAGTTCAATAAGTTTTGACAAATATATACATCTGGGTAACCATCACCACAAGAGGCTCCTTGTGCACTTTTGGAGTAGATTTCCAACACCACGATCCCCAGGCAACCATTGGCCTCATTTCTATCACTAGAGATAAGTGCTGCTAGTTCTAGAACTTCATAGAAATACATAGGTACACATATATCCACGTATATAAAAATATTCCCACGCATCCTCTCTTGTACAATATTTATATGTAAACATATTCCATAGGAATTCTTTTGTTTGTGGCTTCTGTCTCTCAGCACAGTGTTTTGATATTTACCCACACTTGATAGTTTGCTTCTTTTCATTGCTCAGTATTACACTGTATGGATAAACTACAAGTTTGTTTATCTGCTCACCTGTTGATTGACACGACTTGTTTCTACTTTTTGGTACTATAAATACAACTGCTAAGAACATTTGTGTTCAGATCTTCTTGTAGACATGTTTTCATTTCTCTTGGTGACTATCTAGAAGTGGAATTGCAGTAAGTAAACATTTTCTTTTTTTAAATTAAAACAATAAAAATATATCATTGTCTGACAGAGTTCAAATCACCTTAACATTTAAAGGGAAGAGATGACACCATAAGTCATGGGTCAGCCTACAACTAAAAAAGGGCATGTGGACTTCCTACGAGCAAACAAATTACGACCCCCTTGTGGTCTAAGCTTTCTCTGAGCACAGTGAAGGGGCTCAGGACTTGCTCAAGCAGTGGCTTAAAAGGAAATTAATTGACAGCTGCTCAGGCTCTGGGTGGGCAGCCAAGACCGACACCAGTGCAGCCTCTGCATTATGAGAGCCATGCTCTGGGTGGGTCTGGGGCCCCTGAGTCCCAGGCTATTATTCCAGCTTTGCAAGAAATGCTATTCTGAAACTCAGCTGTGAGCTGCTAAAAATAAGGCTAGAGTGTAATGAAGCTCCTGGCAAAAATTAATGTGCAAGTAATCATCAACATTACATATAAGGAGTTAAATAGGAATAATTTCTTCAACATTCCAGTCATGATTTCTCATTTGATTATAATGGTTATCCATGACTTCAGCTAGATTAAATCAGCTGTTGTCAACTAAATGCATATCAGATGTAAATAATACCTCACCCTTTCTTGTTTCTCTGCAACTAACTCCTCAATCCCAGAGGGAATTTCCCAATTCAATATCTAAAACTGACTAAACTGATTAAACATTTGCTGCAGGAGCTTAAAAAAAAATGGTTGTGTAATTTTATTTTACATATACAAGCTAGATAAAAAATAAATTACAACCTCCTCTGGGTGCTGAAAGTTTGGAGTCAAATCTTGTATAAGGCAAAGAAAATAGGGGTAATAATTAACCACTTCAGAGTTCATCAACAAATTAAAGTTTCCTGTCTCAAAGTTTCATGATTAAGCTATGAGGTCATTAACCATCTTGCAATTACCCACCATCTAACCAATCATCAACCCAAAGTCTACATTTTCATAGTTCTTCATAGTCTCCCTTTTCAATTTAATATTTAAGAAAGAATAGAAATTAGAAAATATGAATTTACAGAGAGGAAAAAATAAGGGAAATGTTTAAAGTATTTTACAAGGCATCTGGCCCACCTAAAACTACTATGTGTTTTTGGCTCTCACAGCTTATAATGGGCGTCTAAGTACTTTCCTTACGGCGTGAACAAGGTGGGCAAAGGAGTGGATTGGCCCACTTCCAGTTTGGCTGGTAACTCAACACATGGTCTGCCATGCCAAAACCTCCTGACAGAAGACAAAGGGCAAGGTAAGGAGGATGCCAGCCTGAGAATCCCGGCAGCTCTGTGGTCAGAGATAGCTTAGGAGTAACTTGCACTAGAAAGCAGGAACTTTGGAGTCCTTGAGCAAATTACCTACGGTCTTTAGCTTCTCTTCTGTGGAATAAGTACCCTTTCCTATCTGAAATCTGGAGGCTGGGCCCAGGCCTCTTAATCCTAGGCCACCCACTAAATGCCCTGTCCTGGGGTTTCCTCTTTCTAGATGGTGATGGCCCTCCAGCAGTGCACAGGCCGTCCATATTGGTGCTACTCAAAGGCCTGCCTAGCCCTTGGTTTTATAGCCTTGGAAAGAAAGGCCCAAGGGACAGTTCTACATTCCCAAATTTTACTTTTGGAAAATAACATATAACGTATTAAAGAAATACCTGGGGACTTCCCTGGGGGTCCAGTGGTTGGGAGTCTACCTTCCATGGCAGGGGACGCAGGTTCCATCCCTGGTCAGGGAACTAGGATCCCACGTGCCACAGGGCAACTGGTCCCACGTACCACAACTACTGAGCCTGTGTGCTGTAGAGCCCAAGCACCACAACTAGAGAGAAGCCTGCACCCTGCAATGAAGAGCCCCTGTGCCTCAACGAAAAGATTCTGCATGCCACAACTAAGATCCTACGTGCTGCAACTAAAACCCAATGCAGACAAATAAACAAACAAACAAATAAATAAAAGAAATACCTGAAAAGAATCTAAATGCAAATCCATCTGATACACATATTTGTCTGCCAATAACACGCGTTACCAGATGGCTTCCAAAACACCATTTCAAAAGCTGGCAAAAGGCAACCTGAAGAGCGCCAGCGCCC